TATACTATGTTATAGAAATGTTTGTTTTATTCTATAAATTAAAAAGGAAATAAGTATTAAAAAAGGAAAAAGACTTTGTAGTAGAGTGAAATGGTTGATTTGGAGTCTAAGGACCAGGGTTCAAATACTGTTCCTGCTATTTAACTGGGTATGTGACCTTGGGTAAGTAATTTTTTCTCTCTAGGCCTCAGTGTCCTTATCTATAACATGATCTCTGAGGTGGCTTCCAGTTCTAAATCTATGATCCTATGAGGTCAGAACTGGAGATGATGAGTAGGATATGGAAAAGCAGGAAAGAGGGCAGATATTTTGAGTGGGAGACATGTTGTGGGTGAAAGTAAAGAAGTGGGAATATATGTGATGTGTTGGGGAGATGTCAGCATTTAGATGAGGCTGGTTGGAATGAAAGGTTCACATTAACAGCAACAAGAGAGAAAACTGGAAGGGTAAGTTTGGGCAGGATAGTGGAGAGCATACATAACAAATAACAGCCAGATATGGAGAATAAACAACAACAAGGAGTTTGTATTTTAGCCTGTAGACAAGAGGAAATTTCTTTAAGTTTTTGAGCAAAGAAAGGATGTAAAGGGAGCAAAATTTGATCAGTCTGGCAGCAATACACAGGATGAATCACACAGAGGACAGCCTGAAATCAAAGAGACTAGTTAGGAAGTTGTTGCTTTGATCTAGGCAAAAGGTGATGAGGACCTATCCTAATGAGGTGGCAGTGAGACTAGAAATGAAAGGAAAGATCTAGGAGACCTTAGGAAGAGAGATTTGACTAGACTTGATGACTCACTGGTGGCTTTAGCCACAAAATATTTTCCCTAGTTCCCTAGTCAAAAAACTGAGTTAGAGCCTTAAACAAAAAGGCTCTTATTTTACTTATCTTAAATTTATCTTAAATTTCAGTGGGATCACTTGTAGCTTAGCTAATCTAAACTTGTCTGGTTAAGTTATTGGCTAAGTGGCATAGTAGGTAGAGTTCTGGGACTTGGAGTTAGGAAGATCTAAGTTCAAGTCTGGCCTCAGACACTTACTAGCTGTGTGACCCTGAGCAAATCACTTTACCTTGTTTACCTCAGTTTCCTCACCTGTAAAGTGAACTGGAGAAGGAAATAGCAAACCACTTCCAGTATCTTTGCCAAGAAGTCCCAAATAGGGTCACAAAGAATTAGGCACAACTGAAATGACTGAATAACAAAAATGAATGGCCCACCTTCCATGTAGAATATTGGAAAGAGTACTGGATTTGGGGCAAAAAGACCTGAGTGCAAATCCTGCCTTTGTCACCACCTATGTGACATTGGGCAAGTCTCAGTTTCTTCATCTGCTATGCTATGAGATTGGATTTGATAGTCTCTAAGTCACCGTCTAGCTCAAAATTTAATATCCTGTATTCTAGCATATTCCAGTTCTATGTCTCACATGCACACCATCTGTAGATAAGAACTATGTCATGTGTGTAATAATAAGCCCTTTATACTGCTCTAACATGTGTACTTATCTCATTTGATCCTTATAACAACTCTGTGAGAGAAGTCTTCTCTTCCTCTCTATTTGAGCACATGAAAAAACTGAGACTCACAGAGGTTGTAACTTTGAAGACAGGACTTGAACCCAAATCTTTTGACCCTAATGTCAGTGCTCTACAGACATAGCTCTCTGTGTATGCAAATAGAGGTGTTTTATATAAATGTTTATTTAGCGGTGGCCAGGAAGTAGCTGGCAGGAAACGAAATAACCACAAAAAGCATAGATGAAAGTGAACAAAGAAAAAAAAGGAACATGACAAGAATTGGATAAGGATGGAAGTAAAACAAAAGGGGAGAGGAAGAAGTGAAATCAGCCAAAGGAAGAAGGTAGAAAGGAAGGGTGTTGAAGTTGAGAGCACTGAGACACTTGGGAAGAGAACCACAAATTTCTTAAAACTTTAACTTGACCTTTTCTATGTCCTGGCCCCTTTTGTAAGTCTGTTGAAGCCTATGAACCCCTTTTCAGAATGATGTTTGGAAAATGTATATAATAAAACACATGGTATTACAAAAGAAAGCAATTACGGTGAAATATAATGATGAGAATATTTTAAAAAACAAATTCACAGACCTTTGGTTGGGATGCCCTGCTTTAGAGATTATCTAGTATAGATGGCTCAAAAGGAACCCAGAGGACCTGGGTTCAAATATCACTTCTGACACTCCATATGTAACATTGGGCTTTGGTTTCCTCATCTATATAATGAGGCAATTGGCCTAGGTAGCCTCTGGGGTCCCTTCCCACTCTAAAGCCATGATCCTATGAGGAAACTGAAATGGCACAAAAATGGCAAACATTTGCCAGAGAAGAAGAGATTCCAGAAAGGGGGTGCAGGAACATCTGACATAAACAACATCCTTGATTCCATAAGAGTGTCTGCTATTGGGCTTGCCTGCCTGACAATGTGTCAAGAAGAGTCAGGCAACTCTGGGGGCCTCCCTCACCCAGACCAAGGTCCTGCACTGACCACAAAGCACAGGCAAGGTGGTCCAACACATCATATAGGTCAGGAGCTCTCTTTCTTTTGTTGACTCTTACACAATGAAGCGTCTAGCTGCTTTTCCATACTTGCTACCTAAGACTAATCTTAAAATAGCTAGGCTGGGCCAAAGAGGCTAGAAAATGTGTTAGAAGGCCTGCTAAGGAAGGATGTCATGTTCTAGTATCCTATTTTCCTTGCCTAGACTATGCAATAGAAAGAAAAAAACAAGGAAAATTAGATTCTAAAGAATATCTGGAAATAGGATCAGGGATAAAGGAGGCATTTTGACCTTCTGTGGGTGTTAGTCTTCCACAGAGGTAGTGGGAATGCCTGTTAAGTTCACCATTATAGTCACTATAACTGAGCATGGCTACTCCACATAGACATGAACCAATAACAGCCGAGAATGGATCTGCTTACAACCCTCTTTAACAAATGTCTCACACCTGTTACTACAGAGAAACCTCTCTGCCCTGTTGGGTGGTGGCCCTGGCAGAGAAGCTTTTCTAAATTATTTTGTCACACTGTAATCCAATCCCCCTGACTATTATCTCAGGTGGTTCTCCCCCACCTCAATTCCCAATCTATCTTCTGCAAAAGTTTCTACGTGTCAGTGAGAAGGGAAACTGAGATGACAATAGACTTGGTCATTTGACAAGATTTCTCGTAGTGCTCTTGTTGACAGGATGAAGAGATATAAAGTAGATGATCATGCAAGTTGGTAGATTCCTAAGTGACTGAATTATACGACCCAAAAGGTGGTGAGTAGTAGAATGATAGCAACCTGGGAGGAGGTCTCTAGAAAAGTGTTGCAGGGATTTGTCCTTAACCTTCTTCTGTTCAATAGGTTTATCAATGACTTGAATGAATACATACAGCCTGCTTGACAAGTTTACAGCATGACATAGAACTGTGAGGGGCTAGTTACCGTTTTGATCAGAAATGGGATATGAAAAGATCTTTCTGGACAAGCTAGAGAGATTGGCAAGTTCTAATTTGAATAAATGGATAAATATGAAGTCCTATCTTGGGTTAAGAAAATCAAATGCACAATTACTATATAAAGGGAACAGAGCTAGACAGAAATTCACTTTTTAAAAAATCTGGCTAAAAAATTGCCTAAAAAAATAAAAAATCTGGGTGTTTAGGGAACTGGAAATCTAATACAAGTCAATGGTGTAACATGACAGTGAACAACAACAATAATTATACAATTTAAGATATATTGATGGAAGCCTAGTTTCCAGAAGGAGCAAAGTTCTCTCTTCTTGTATTCGTTTCTGGACACTACATTTTAGGAAACATATTGACTAGCAGGTTAAAAGGATGCATCCACACGAATTTAATTTCTTAAATATTGCTTATAGTACTACATAGTAAATAAAGAACCAGTCCTAGAATCAGACAGTTCAGTATTCAAATCCCATCCCCATCCTCACTCCCCCAACCTGCCCACACACTCATATTGACTTGTTAACCCTAAACAAGTCACTTAATCTCTCAATTTTCCCCAGTCAGCTCTCTAACATTATAAAAAGTAGTTTCCTTATGAGAAGTCTTTTATATCAATGAAATCCCAGGTCTGAAACTTGTTTCTTCACCAACATTATCTCCAAAGCTGTTTTAGTGTGCCTCCCTGGGATACCACACTAGGCTTCAGTAGGACCTACTAGACCTATCTTCCCCTTCAAAATGACATGGCTGGAGAATGAAGGAACAGAAATATCCTCTTCTTCCACTGCCAGGGTCTTCTCAAAAGGCAGTTCCTGGCCTGAATGTACCTGAACTCTTGAACTGTTTCCAGAGCATAGCTATCTATAGCCCCAGGGGACATGGCCCATTTCCAGGCCAATTGAATCACATTACCCCTTCTGATTCGCTCAGAGAAAGTTGTTCACACTCTGTAAAGAGATCAACACAAATTCTTTGTTAACACATTAACACCTCATGACTTCTGTTATCCACTCTGCTTTCAGTGAATACATCAACTATGGAGATGAGAGGCTAGGAGGAGAAGGAGACAAACCTCCACATCCTTTACATAACTTTCTCTGGTTCTTTTAGGCACTATTGAAACATTTGATATACACTAACCACCACAATAATTTTTCAGTGCCTGAGAGAGATACAGTAACTTCAAAAATGCTTGAATAAGGGCTTATTCAATGAGAGAATTATTCAACTTATTCAACTTACTAGCTTATTCAATGCTAACTCATCAATGTTGTTGTCCTTTGTACTCAAAGAGGACCAAAATGGCATCACAATATTGGGATCAATGTACAGTGGGTCCAGTGGTAGCTGATCAGACCAATATGAGCTCAGAAGACTTCACTGTAAGTTGGGCACATATAGACCATACAAACATTTGGGATATACACCAGCAGGGTATAATGGAAAGGTTCCAGAAGACAGCACAGATTTACTATCAATCAGAAGATTTAGGTTCTTCTATTGAATCCACCACTTACTGACCACAAACCTTTAGGCAGGTCACTCCCCCTCCCTGGGCCCCAGTTTCTCCATGTCTCCAAAGATCAGATGAGATGATCTCTAAATCTTCTCCTAGCGCTAATATCTATGAAGCATTATTGTTTGCATCATAGAGTACATGGACTATAGAATCTTGTGTAGATCTGGTAGAAAGAGGCACCTTACAGCCTAGGCCAATGAAATCAGAGGTCAAAACAGTAGCAGTTCTATCTAAATCTATCCTTCTTAATATGCACATTGGCTTTAAGGGGATAAGATGTGTCATGTGGTTTGACTAGGTGACCCCTATCTATGGTCCCTTCAAAGCTTAAGATTCTAACATTCTATAATTCTATAAGGACTAGCAAAGAGATGAAGGATATGATGAAGAGACAGGAAGAAGGTCCAGACTAGGCACTATATTGGGTAGATGGACAGGGGAGCAGGAGGAAGATCAAGGCAGCCTTGGAACAACATGAACATTGTAGGTACCTGAGAGTGAGCTAGGAATGGGAAATGGGAACGAAGTCTGAAAGGAGAAGTGAAGTAAGTTCTCTGATGCATTTTTTTTTAAATCTTTAGAGTAAATAAGCATGAAACATTCAGAAGCATGAGGGCCACATGGTAGTTATAGAAAGCCAAGCCTTAGAGTCAGGATACTCAGGTTCAAGTTGTGCCTATAACATATAATGGCTATATGACCCCAGGCAAGTCACTTAAATTTTCAACACCCAAGTCAGTTCTCTAAGGCTACAAGCTGCAGAACAATTGTTGTGTATTGGTAGTAGGAATTTCCTCACTGACAGTTTCCTAGACAAATGAAATCACAGCTGTGGATCCTAAAATATTGGAAAGGGTCCACAAGGGGTCTTAGAGGATATCTAGTCCAACCTGTCATTTTACAGAGTAGGAAATTGAGGCCCAGAAAGATGAAACCATTTTGTCAGTCACAAAGCAGAATTGGAACTACAACAAAGTTCCTTCTGACTAAACTACTCAAGCTTTCCCTTTACATGTCTGTAATCTATGTGTGGATGGCTAATATGGCTGTTCTGTATGTGGCATGAACAATGTCTAATCTGGTATTTGGCTCACCACATCTCAAAGTGAGAGTGAAATTTCCACCTTTGCAGAGAGGAAGAGGAAGACTGTGCTGGCACAACTAGCATCCTAATGGGTGAGAGAGAGGCAATATGCAAGACTGATGTCCCTCTCAGAGATAGTACAGTAGCATGGAGGGGAGATCTCCCAGCTGGGTCAGTCTCATAAACTTAAACAGAAATCAGAGAAGCTATACAGATTAGGGAAAAAATAGAACAGACCACAGTGATGCCTTGTTTGGGAGCAAGATAAAACCTCAGTCCCACCAAAGACAGAAAAATTTCAACAGGGAGAATCCGTTATTGATTTCTAGGGGTACAGGTGCTGAGGATGGAGGGACATATTGAGGGCCAGATTCCCTGAATGTCTGTGACCCCAGGTCACAGATCTCCCATCTATCATCCAAAAGTTTTTGCTTATCTCTCTTGTCTTGGCTCTACCTCCTTTGAATTGTCTACCCTGCCCCCCACAAATTTAAAGCATTATCAGGTCAGAGGTCTCTCAGACAATTAGGAATCACATTTGTTCTTTAGCTGTTTTTCAGTTGTATCTAACTCTTCATGACCCCATTTGAGGTTTTCTTGGCAAAGATACTGGAGTGGTTTTTCCTTTTCTGCTTCACCACATTTCACAGGTGAGCAAACAGGATTAAGTGACTTGCCCAAGGTCACACAGGTAGGAAGTGTCTGAAGTTAGATTTGAAGATGAGTCTTCCAGACTTCAGGTCTGGCGGTGTATCCACTATGCCACCCAGCTCCCATATGCAGCACTCAGAATCACAGGGTTGTCATTTAGGAAAGGTACCCCTGACTTGGGCAGAAGAGGGATTATATTACCATGAAAATATTATCCTAATAACAGATATTTAACAGAAGATATATTGCACCTAAAATACATAAATAAATGAAACAAGTTTGCAGGAGAAATAGTTAACATAGTATTTCCTAATACTTTTCACTAAATTCCATAATTTTGTTAATTCTCTAAATGACCTTCTTTTATTTACTGTTTGTTTTTGCTTTTTGGTGAGGCAATGGAGTTAAGTGACTTGCCCAGGGTCATACAGCTAGTACATATTCTTTTATTTTTAAAAACAGGTCTGGCAAGTCTGCTATTTGTTAACAATTCAATTCAACAAACATTGAACACTTTCTCTGTATAAACAAACTCAGACATTGCTAATAAGTTACTTAAATCTAATGTGGAATTGTGTTATAACATAAATATGATATAATAAAAAGGTAAAAGAGATCCAAAGTTATCTTTTTTTAAAAAATTGAGGAGGAAATATGTCAGTAAGACCCTTTGATTTGAAATTTGGACAGCAGAGGGAAGGACTTTTCTGAAAGGAGCCCTCTTTTGCCTACAATGGGTCTTGTACTGAGTATTCCTCTGTAAGTTTGGTAGATTCTTGATCTGATATTTAACGACTAATTCAAAGATTATCTTTTTTATTCAGACCTTTGCCAGAGAAATTCAGGTTCAGGAAAGGAGGGAGTTAACCGTTGTATTTGACAGAATTCTTTTGCTAACATTGATCAATGGGTTATTTTTGTGATTGTAGGTTGATTCACACGGAGGGTTCAAAAAAAAGGGATCAATAATAAAGAGATGGTGAAGGTGTCAAAGGAAAAGAGTGATTTATGGAATATATGGCGGAGGTGCAAATCTGCTGCACGTTATGAATATTCTTCATTCTGCACCCTATCAATAAATATGCATCAGATAGAAACTAACATTCCCTGGGAATGTGGTCAGATGCAAGTAGAATGTCATCAGAGACCATGCTTCAAAGAACAGTTCCTCATGTCCAGGAAAACAAGTTTAAATTCTCTTGTGTGAAGTGTCTGTGCGCAGTTTCCCTGCTGCATTATGCATGAATCTGACATCTTGTAATATGAACAGTGTTCTATTAGTGATTTCCAATTTTGCCTTACGTGGGGCAACTTAATGATGTTATTTAGGTTAGCATTTTACTTTGCCATATAATATTCTTGCAACATTTACTCAGGTGCTACTTAATTTTAGTCACAATGCAATGCCATGGTACAATATAGGAGCATACAAAGAAATAGCAGAGTGCCCTTAGGGGATTTGCATCTTTAGAACCAATTCCTCATTTCTTTCTTCTATTGTAAAAATTCAGAATGTAACTATAAGTGTTAGGCATGGTCAAGTTCTCCTCACACTAGAGAGTTGATGAGTATTTACTAAATGAGAGGAAAATGAATGATAATTGTTCACATTTCTGTAGGATTTTAAGGTCTGCAAAACACATTCTTCACAACTCTGCGAGCTACATGATGCAAGTAGTTTGAAAACTAAAGCTAACAAGGCAAATTAACCAAGTCAAAGTCACATAGCCATTAGGTAGCAGAGCTAGAATCCATACCCAAGCCTCCCTTTGCTAGCATTCTTGTGACTACAGCACACCACCTCCCAGATATTACAATCTAGATATCACTGCACCATAAAAATCAATGAGTATGAAGAATTCAGAGAAACATGGAAAGGTGAAGGTAGGAGAAACAGTAGAATAATATACATGGTTATTGCAATAACATGAATGGATACAGACTAAAAGGAAGCCAAACTCTGAGTAATGACAAAGACAACTTTTGCTTATAAGATGAGGGGAGCTATTGATATGAAATGTTACATACTCTGTTAAGGCTAGATCATCATAGGTAAATAAGTGGCCCTCAGGGTCCCATTTTTCCCCCTTCCATAATGTTCATTCCTTTCAGGAATCCAATACACATCTTATATCAAAATTTGCTCATAGGAAAGAATCATGGTAATGTAAATTTATCCAATGTGTCATCCTTCTCATTAATGACCTCTAAAATTCAAAAGTCTATGATTCTACTTACACTTTAAACAATGTGGAATGAAAGAGTTTGTTAAATGTTAAGGGAAGTTCAAGCATCAATGAATTGATTGGGAATGTATTACGATAGATCACACAGTATTTTCTGTTCTTTTTTTTTCCAGCACCCTTGAAATAATATCATGTAGGTAGCCTCCTAATCCACTTATCCAAAAAACCTAGCATATATTCAGGTCCAGAAATTATTTGAAGACCCTAAAGGAGCTATTTCTACCCAACAGAGAAAAATTAAGGCTTGGTGGTTGAGTAATTGAGTGATTCAATATAGGAGAAGCAACATGGTAGAGTGGAAAGAGCACCAGCCCTCGAGTCAGAGGACATAGGTTCAAACACTGCTCTGTCACTTATTGTCTGTGTGACCTTGCATCCTTTTGAATCTCAATCTCTTAATCTGTGCAATAAAAGGATTCATAGCAACATAGGTCTAGAGTTGAAATGAACCTTAGAAGCCATGCAGTCCAGTCCCCTCATTTTATTGTTTATGCCTTTGTTAATACTCTACATGGGTACTGATCAGAACCAAAACCATCATAAAGCCAACAGAGCTTTGTCTCAGGGTGAGGGCATGCTCCCTCCCTTGGAGGGCATATTTCTTTCCCCTCTGTATCTTTCCTTGAAGTACTCCATTGATCAGTGCCCTTTAACCACAGCCATGCCTCACAAATATTTATTGCTTTGACGTCCCTCCCTTGGGAATCATTTCCCTTCTAATCTTCATAGAGATTAGAGATGGACTCTCTAAGCCTTAGAGTCTGAGTGATGGGTCATCCCTTTTCCCAGCACAATTACATCTGTAGTCAGGTTATCTGTATTATCTCTTCCTCCACCTTTTTTTCTGTACAATGGTTTTTGTACCAGATGTAAAATTTTCTAGTCACATTTCTGGTACTAACCATGGAACCTGGAAAGATACAACATGAACTAAGTGTTCATACCACACACGTAAACTGAGTTCCCTTTTAAAAATCTGTAACTACTTGACACATATGCTCAGAGCATGATGCTAATGAGAGCTGAGCTTGAAGCTCTGATACTCTTTTTAGGCCAGTGCTTAAAGATGCTGTAGTTTAATT